TGGTCGCTCTTTCATATATCCAAGCATCACCGAAAGCGAACCAAGGATGCGGAACTGAAGAATTACATTTTGATCATTTTTGATCAATTTTTGGTCATTTCATCAGTACCACACCCTTGAAATGACATAACGTGCTATTTTCTAAAATATTCAGTGACACACACACACACGCACTAGTGTGCCGCGGCTTACAGTTTGAGCAACACTGAGCTAGTGGTTCAAGTTGTCTCAAGTTTGCTACAATATTGATGATTCAAATTCTTTAAATCTTGAAAAAATAAACTTAAACTTAAATGACATAAGGAAGGGATAATTAAAAGTTTGGTCATTTTTTGAATTGTTTTTCAAATTTATTTAAACCAAGGCGTGGAAACTCTAGGATTTAAGGAGGATTTTTTGGGATTTTTTGGAATTTTTCATGCGCGCTTAGGATTTTGGATTTTTTAAGATTTTGTGGTATTTTTCAGAATTTTTCGGAATTTTAAAGGATTAATCCCAAAAATCCTGAGTTTCCACGCCTTCATTTAAACTTTTTTTTGGATTTTTATGTTAACAATTGTCCAAAAAAACCAAAAACGTAATGCAAATTTTTCCAACAATTTAATCACTGCTGATAATTAATTTCGTCCACAAAAAGTGTCAAAAATAACATTAAAAATCCAAAATAAATAATCAAAAAATTCTAAAATTTTCAATTTACAGAAACAATAAAAAAAATCTTCTTTTTTATACCAAAATAAATAAAAAAAAATTAAAAGTGCAACAAAAAAAATAAAAACTCAATAAAAAAATCTTTGACAGCGTGAAAAAAGTGAAAAGTGAGAGAAAATCAATCACAAAAAAAATATAGAAAAAGTCGAGCAAAACAAAAGAGAGAAAAAAAATAAAAATCTCAAAAAAATTCAATTAAATGTAAAAAAAATCTTCGTTTTTATTCAAAAAAGTTTCACATTTGTGTGCGTTTGTGTGTCAATTTTAGTTTATGATTTTCACAGTCGGACAGCTGTTGTTGGATGTGCTCCTCCGTTTTTCCCCGCTTTTCCAATGCGAAAAAAAAACAATTTTTTTGGTGAATTTTTGTAAATAAAAATTAAGTTTTTTATTTTGTTGATATTTTGTGGGAATTTTGAGTGAATCAGTGACGAGAAAAACGTGGAAAACTGATTAGATTTGTGAATAAGGCTCCTCAATTCCGTCAATATAGTGAAAAATAAGTTGAAAATCCTCAAAATTCTCCAACAGAAAATTGTTAAAATAAAAAAATGAACAAAAAGTGAGAAAAAAAATGCAAACTTTTGCTTACACTTTTTATATTAAATACTAAATCCTTAAAGTGCTTAACCAATTTCAAATCCTCGAAAAATATTGAAAAATTGTGAACAAGTTGTTATTAAAATTAATGAAAAATAAAACTTGATTGAAGCTTGACATCCTGTTGTTAAATGGTAAGAATTAAATATTTACTCATGGTGTTAATAATAGGAGGGGGGGGGGTTATGGGGTCAGCCTTCACATTAATATAAGTTAATAAGAATGTCAAGTATTTGATGAGGACTATTTGAATGATGAGGATATAAATAAGCAGCATTATTAGGGCTTTATTAAGGGCATTGAAATTCGAGCACAGGTGACTAGGGATGGTACAACAGATCATCGATCGCAGTGCCGCCTTTGCTATAAGAAAACGCTACATTACATTTTATCCTATTCTATTCTATTCTAATAAGAATGTCTTAAATATATTTGAACGTTGTGATGAGAAAGCTGCCGTGGCTACGGCATCAGTGGCTTAGCTTAAGTGGTAGAGCGTTGACCTCACGTGCCAAAGATCCTGGGTTCAATCCCAGACCAAGTTTAGAGTTTTAGAAGCTCTTTTTCCATTTCACCGTTCTTGTTACGAAGTTTGGTTCAATGTTGGGTGTAGTTTTGAGGTCTTCGGCATATAAAGTGTCTCCTTTGCTAGGTATACTAGCATCTGGAAGCTTTCATTACAGCATCTTGCGCATACGATTTGTGACTAGGTACATTGCTGGGTACATCAAGTTTATACTCGTGTCTTTGCAATATGCAGAGCTTCAGATTTCAGTGGTTCAGATTCCACTATAAACTGTAGGTCTAAAAGGTGCTGTACAATAGATTCTGACAGAGTTCGAAGTCGATAGGGTTCGAGTCGGTTCAAGTTGACTCAACTCGACTCAAAACCCAGTTGACTCAACTTTTCTCGAGTCGATTTCTTTTTGTCGGAGTCAGCTCAGAGTCAACTTGGAGTCACTTGATCACTCGACTTGAGTATATATATATATAAATATACTAACTGCGACACGCCAAAACCTGGTCAGTGGTGTAGCCAGGAAGGAGTTTTTTTGTAGTACCATTAAGTATTTATGACAATTGGTCTAAGCTGATCGAACCAAACTTCAGCTTCCAAGAAAAAGTCTAATTCTGATTTTTTTATGCCAGCATAAATCCCCAAATTTCTAAGTAAATTTTCCAATTCATAAATTTTTTACAACTCCTCAAAATCCAGAGCATGCAAATACACACATTAAAAAAAATAGTCAATAATGTTTTGCATCCACAAAACACCCTCAAAGCCTCCCCACCCGCATCATCTTCCTCATTTTTTTACATCTCAATGCTCTGCTCCGCTTTACTGTGCACCAAACTGTCGCGACACTTTTTTTTTCATTTTATTTCTTCTGCAATTCTCGCACAGATTCACACGAAAAAAAAAATCTCACAGTTTGCAGTTCCATTTTGTTGTTGTTGCTGCAAAAAAAGCTGTGTTTGTGTTTGTGCATGAAAAACTGAACTAAATGCTGTGCTTCACATGGCTTTTATGTAAAAAATAAAAAAAATTGAGAGCTGAGAGAATTTTTTGGGGGTGGTTTTTGAGTTTGATTTACATCCTGGAAAAATGCATGCCACGACTATGCTGCTTGTTTTTCATACACGAGTCACCCACAATGCCACCCTCGGGATGCAAAAGTCTTTCCATTTCACTCATTCACTGGCGGGTTTAATGTGTCTGATGTCTAGCGCGGATTTTTTTTCTTGTGCTGTTGTTTGCTTGATGTTAAGGCAAGATTTACAGTCTTGCGGATGATTTTTTTTAGAGGAAATGCAATGGGAATTGTAGCAGTGAATATAATAAATATTGTGAATTTAGTTTCTGTTACTTTATTGCAATTATTTGTGATGCTTTTGAGTCTTTCGAGGAGAAATTTTTTTTATCTGAATTTTTTATCGATTCCAGTTAAAGATTTGGCTATAAATGGTGAAATAATGATGGAAAATTATAAAAAAATTACCTTTTATGTTGTTGTCCTCCTGAAGTCTTAATACATTGAAGTTTTTATGGATGTATTCTTAAACTTTCCTAATATAGTCCCAAATGTTCGAGACAAATGGGTTCAAATTTCTTATATTTTTTGAACACAACTGGACCTCTTTTCACATCTATCCAAACTCATCTGATAGAAAAATCAGCCCTCAAGTCCAACACATCTTTTTGAAAAGGAGAAACCCGATTGAACTCTTAATTAACTTCAGCGTCAAGCTTGATGGTTATTTTCAACATTTTGCGGTGGGTTTCTTGATACTCACATGCATTTACACCAGCACCTACACATAAGGTATACACTAGTGCTAGTGCAGATGTAGATGCATGTAAATTTCAAGAAACCCACTCCAGAAGGTTGAAATTATTTACAATAGTTCATACCATAGATGTAGATTCAGCGCCAAGAAACCCAACCCTCAGCTTTAGCATCGAGCTTAGAATTGAGCTCTGTGAATCAAACATTTCAGTGGTGAACTACCTTTTTTGTGCCATGCCACACCTTGTTGGTAATCCATGACTGAACTGCACACGACGAACAGTTCTTAAGATTTCTAGAATTATTCCACACTAGTGTGCCGCAGCACATGAGTTGGTCGTCACTGAAGCAGCCTTATAGGAAGCTGTCTAAATTTTTTTAATCGATTTTTGGTCAAGAAGCGTTAAATGTCCCAATTTCAGCTCTGATCTCTCATTTTCCAGTTAAAAAAAGGTTCAAAAAAGCGGTACATTAAAGATTTTAGGCGGGACTTTGTTTAAATATTCAGGACTGTCCCGCTCAAAATTGCGCAGGTGGACAGCTTATTAATAGATTAACTTTACGCTTCTATTGTAAGAAGTTGAGCTAGCTTCGTTCATCACTTTCATAAGACAGCCTGAATTCTATTTTATATAATAGCTTAAGTAACAGTGCTACTCAAACTATGATCCACGGCACATAAAGTTTACAATAAAGCTAATGAATCCCAAATTCCCCAGAATGATTGTCATCAAATCTGTCAATTTGAACAAAATTTCAAGTCCATCCCCAACTCAGAAAATCCATCATTAGCTCCTCATTACCAAAATGAAATAAAATTGAGTCCCTCGAGAAAACCACGCTAAGCAGAGAGCCATCAACTGATGTAAAATGATGAGGAAAGACACACAGAAAAAAAAAGTCGAGCAAGTTCGGCTGACATGACAAAAAAAAATCTAATTTTAAATCATTTTCTTTTTAATTGTGTTGGTCGCAAAGCTGAATTTTCCTCAATCATTTTAAGCCACGCTCAATTTCTCTCACGCTCTTCTCGTCACCGACACAAATGCAAAAATTTTCTTTATTTTTGTTTTTCTTTTCTTTTTTGCTGTAAAACTTTTTTTTATTTTATAAAATAAATAAATACAGCTTGACGTGATGTGGACGATGAAGATGAGGAAATTTATGATGTGAGTGTCGCGATGTGTGATGAGCAGAGAAAAAAAGATGAATTACGTAAATAGCGCGGACTTTTTAGTCAATTTTAAGACTAGTTTGATGTGCAATTTAGTGCAATTTGAGGTTAGTTGGATGTTGCAATGGGATTTGGAAGGGATAAGCAATATCTTAAATGAGAATCAAAACAGTTAAACTTTATTAATGCTAAATCATTCAGTAAGGATGTTCAGTCTATCTTCAAGCTCAATTTCTAGCCAATTCCTCAAATTCAGCTTGCAATGCTCTCATCATTTCCTCTCTCTTCTTTATATAATTCAAGACTTTAGTCATTTTTTCAACATTTGCAGCCCAATCAGGATTAAACCTGATATCTAGATGCTTATCCCTGATCACATCAAATGCCTTTTTCCTCAACATCTGATTTTCATATTTGTTGCTTAAATTCAGCACTTCCGTTGCATTATCTTCGTTGATCTGATTAATCATTTTCATTGCTGCAAAATCCTTAAGTTCCTCAATTTTAAGTTGCCCAGCTGCTGCAAAAAGATGTAAAATGTTCGTCGCATCGTCGCCTGGAAGTTCATCAGTGTAGAGAAATTTAAGAATTATCCCAAAAGTTTCCACAGAAATATCGACAAGATTTAAATTTTCAACTTCTGGGTTGGTTTTGAAGATTTCAGCCAGAGTTGGACTGCGAGCGACAAGCAGGAACTTGTGAACTGGAAAGTCATGGTCTTCAATTTGGACGAGGAAGTCTTTTGTTGTGTCATCATCAATGAAGTTTCTGAAATCAGTAAAAAATCCAGATTGAAGCTGGGAGACTAATTTGATGTTTTTAAGCTTCTCTTGCTCCAATTCAGTTTCCAGTCTCAACTTTGTGTTCTGAAGTTGCTGATTGTCTTTGATCAAATTTTGTTGAGATTTTTTTAATTTTTTGCAGCCATTTTGGATACTTTTTAATTAGTTCTAATTTAAAATGATCAATTTTTCCATGAGCACTGTAATTCCGATGGTTTGAGAACCACTTTCCATATTGTGGATTGTTCCTAAAATCCACATAAATTAAATTATCAAGCTTGTCAAGAATATTTGGCTCAACAACTCTCAAATTATTGTCATTAAAGGCAATCCATTTTAAATCTTTAAAATCATCAAATAAGTCACCAGGCAGGTACTCAAGCTCGTTAACGCTGCATCGTAGTTCCGTCAAATTTTTATACTCTTTTAAGTCATCTTTGTTGATTTTCTTCAGCTTTGAGCTCATAATCCACAAAATTTTCATATTCGGAAAGACATTTTTGAGTCCTTGAGGAACTTTATTGACTGTTGAGTTTCTCGTCACGTCTTCGTTGGTATTTCCTTCTTCATGCTGTCCATTGAAATTTAATTCTTGATTTTCTGGAATTAATTGACTTTCAACTATGCAGTGATAATGCCTGCTTACATCAACTTCAATTATCTTGTAACTTGCTTTAACTTCCATTTTGTCAATAAATTTTGGAGTTAATTTTGAATTTTAATTATTTTTTAAATCCTGTCGAGTGCTGTTGTTTACCAAAAGTTTATTCATCAATAGTTTCAAAATGTTAAGCGTTACAAAAAAGTTTCAGAACAAAATGAATAAATAATATTTAATTTGAGTAGTTTTGATGTAGGTCGACCATCTGCTTGAGTTTTCTTAGGATCGTCAATCTTAAGCTAAATCCTTAAGTTCAGCTTCAAATTTCTGCATTACTTCTTCCTTCTTTTTAATGAAATTTAAGACTTTTGTCAATTTTTCTAAATCTTCAGACCAACTGTTTTGGAAATCAACGTCCGGATACATGCTCTTAATTATATCATATGCTTTTATTCTTAGATCAAAATGATTGTATCTATTGCTTAATTTGAGGATATCCAACGCATTATTTTCATCAATCTTTTCTTTAATCTTATTTGCTGCATGGTTCATTAAAAGATCGATTCTTAGTTTCCCAGTAGCAGCAAAGAGCTCTAAATAGTTTGTCCCATCGTCGCCTGGAAGTTCATCAGTGTAGAGAAATTTAAGAATTATTTCAAACATTTCCTCGGAAATGTCGACCAACTTTAATTCTTCTATTTGTGGATTCTCCAAAAATATATTATAAAGAGTGTCACTACGTGCTGCAAGCAAGAATTTATGGACATCGAATTCACGTTCGGTTATAATAATCTTAAAATCTCGGGCTCCAAGATACAAATGAGTTTTAATGTCACTGATAAGGCTGTATTTAGGACCATAAGGATTTTCCTGATCATAAGCTGATGTTCTATACTCATAATCAGGCTGACCACTTGAACTGGAATCATCACAAAAATCCTCATCTTCATTACGTTTTGAAAGTCCTTCCATAAATTCCTTTTTTAACTGCAAATGTTCATCAACATGATCAGCAAAGACTTTAGCGATTTCAGCTTTAACTTCATTAAATGTTGCATTTGAGTCATCTTCATCATAAATTGAGTAGTTCGTCTTGTATCTTGGATTGTCACTAATGTTACAAAGCTTTAACTTGTCAAATCCAAAAAGCAAATTTGGTTCAATCATTTGCAATTTATTGTCATTAAGTCCAATTTGCTCTAAATTTTGGAATCCTTCGAACAGATTTCCAGGCACAAATTCAATTTTATTATCAAAAAGGTGAAGTTCCTTTAGATGTCGATACTCAATTAAGTCCTTGTTACAGACATATTTTAAGTTTGACTTCCAGACACTCAAATCGTTCATTTTTGGAAAGATCTTTTTTAATCCTGCTGGAACTACTGGAATGTTGCACTTTACGAATCTGACTTCTTCAACATCATCGTTTGTCTTTCCTTGAAGGTGTCGTCCACGAACTTTTAGGATTTTTGATGGAATTGATTGATATTTTATTTTACAGGCGTAAATAATAACTCCATTTATATATTCTTGATCCTCAAATTTGCATGTCAAGGCCATTGCTGTCGATTTTATCTTGCAATATCTGTTAAAAATGACAAAAAAAATATTTTATGGCAATTAAGATTTTGGGTCGTGCAGTTAAGGGTCGTTCACAGATGACATCCGAAATTGAAGGTTCGGGAATTTTTTTTATTCATTTTTTTGCTGACCCCCCATCCTGGACGTCATAACTGAACGGCTCCTCAGCCCAATGGATTAATAAATACTTACAAATTTATATAAAATTATTAAAACTTAATTTTTCAAAAAAAAAAACAACAAAAAACAAAAACAAGACAAAGATCAGCTGTGATTCATAAATTAAATAAATTCAAATTCTTAAAAGCCGTTGATTAAAATTCAATATTTGATAATAAAGTTTTCATTCAAAGTCTAATAAATTATACAATTTTTTAAAATTATTCATTAAAAATCTAATAAAGTATTCAATTTTTTTCAATTTATTTTCAGATTACACCAATAAAGCAGAACTAATTGCATCACAATGAGCCTCCAGTGACCACAAGCTAAGTTCTCAAAGAATCAGAATAAAAAATTGCAATACAAAAAAATGTGAAGTGCAAAAAATAAAATATTCAAAAAAATATAAAATGAGATCAAAATCAAAAAGTTTAATTTAAAAAAAACCCGATTAAAAATAATAATTTCAAAATCAAGAAAAAATTCTCAATAAAAGCCGTCAAAGCCAACAAGCAATAAAAGTTTAATTTATGTTTCTACCTGACACAATACGCAACTGCATGATCGAGACAGACGTATCATCGTATCTACAAACAACATCAACTGGACAGGTGGACAAAAATCCAAAAAATCCGCAAATTTTTACTAACACAAAAAAAAATCAAATTTTGTTGTATAAATTTTGAGTAAAGAATGCAAAAAAAAAATTTTTGACATGGCGCGGCGAATCTTAGACACCAACAATGATAAGACACACAGCGATGATTGTGCGCGCCTATTTATTGATACTAAATGATCCAAAATAGCAAATGTGTAATTAAAATAATAATATGAACAACAATTTACTAATTCAAATTTGCATGATTTAATTTTAAATGTTTGGGTGTTTAGGTGTCAATTTTTTTGTGGTGGTGGGGTTTAAACTGCATGATTTGGTGTATTTGCATGATTTTGTGGCTTTTTTGTGTCTATTTTGAATCAATTTCTTGTTAATAATTGTTATTTTAATTTTAAGCTTCGATCTTGAAGCTAGAAATATCTCTCGGAGGGGCATAGCCAGAAATTTTAGTGGGTGTCCAATAATTGAATGGGGGGGTGGGGCAATAATTTATAAGATAGGAGAAAGTTCATTTTTTCATAAAAAAAAACCACAGAAAAATGAAAAAAAATTTCTGTTCGTTTGAGGATTCGTGACTTAATTCCTCTCCTGCTACGCGAATGTATCGCTGGAAGTGGAGCAGGTGGTAGGAGGAGTTCGAAATTGAGATTGGTAATGCCTTGTTCTGGATGGCTGTAGAGACTAAATCATTTAATATCACAAAATATTATTCCGAATGGCACAAGTCGATTAATCGATCAGAAATCCGGCACAAAACCGGTGTGACTCTGGCATGGTATTAACTTACTTACTGCGCTGGTTGTACAGATCAATTGCGATCCATATCGTACCTCAGATGTCGCTGGAAGCTGACTCTATCGCTGGATACCGCTTGCTAATTTCTAATACCAAATGCAATACTGTCTTTATCAACAGCCTCTTTCAATGGCTCTTGCATGGTTGCTAAAGCAGTTAAGTGCCTTGCTGGTCGAATAGGTAAGGCGCTTGGCTCAAATTTGGTATGGTAACTCGAAGGTCGTCGGTTTGAATCCAGCCATTTCCAAATTTGTTCTTTTTCAGAAGTTTAGATACTTCGACTGCTTAATGTACGAGATCAAGCCATAATTGGGCATTTTGGGCAAGGTTGGATTAAGGAACGGATCAGGAACTTGAAGTGTAGCGGGAGAAATAGGAACGAGAGCTACAAGAAAACCTTATAATGGAATATTGTCAGAACGGACCTGAAAAGTATCACGTCACGCCCACAGAAGATTGAAACGACAGCCTGAATTTAATCGAAACCTAGATTTGAATATTAGAAGCTTGATTCTGCGTCACTCATAGTGATATGAAATGTATCACTAATCAATGTAAAAACATGTATTAAATACTAATTCTTCCGGACGGTAACGTCGACAAATAAATAATAATTATAATAATAAAAAATTATAATAATGGTGCTAGATTTAAATCGAAGTCAGCTTCATGTCATCTTTCCACCGGAATTCTATTCTTTTAGCCGACTTGTGCTATTCAGGTTTATTTTAACTTTATTTTCCAATACTTTATTGACAAATTCTAGTCTTAATGACTAGGATGACTAAACCTAAAAATCTTATCTTCCGTTAAATGCCACGGCCAAGTCAACTTCATTCCCCACGAGTCTGTGATTTCTGAAAATCCATGCTTCTTCTGAGCTATTGTGTATGACTTCTTTTGTAGCTCAACATTTCCATATTTAACTGCCAAATTGAATATTTCTAACGCATTGTCTGGATAAATTTGGTTCAAAAGTTTTGTTGCTGAATATTTCTTTAAATCCTCAATCCCGAGCTGACTAGAAGCTGCATAAAGTTCTTTGTAGTTTGTTCCAAACTTTGTTGGAAGTTCGTAGTTGTAGATTGATTTAAGGATTATCTGGAAAGTGTCAATTGAGATGTCTTCAAGAATTATTGTATCAGAGTTGGGATTTCTGCGTAAAGCTTCACCAATTGCTGGAATTCTGGATTTAAAGAATGTTTTATTCGCCTGGAATACTTGATTTTCAACAATGACTTTAAGGTCATTTTTGAGGTAATTTTTGATGTCGCTGCAAACTTTTTCCTGATGTTTTTCAATTTTTAATTCTTGCATTTTCTGCCACTTCCAAGTAGAATTTCTCAAAAAGTTCATCTTTAACTTCCTCCAAAGTCGCATTTGGATAATATTCAGGATAAACTGAGTAACATTTACTGTAATTTGGATTTAAACTAAAATTAACAATCTTTAATCTTTCAAGTCCATCCAGAATATTCGGTTCAATCGTCATCAACTTGTTACCATTAAAAACAATTTCCTCTAAATTGTCAAAGCCTTCAAACAAGTCACTTGGCAAATATTCCGTCTGATTCTCACAAAATCCAAATCTCTCCAAATTTTTATACTCAATCAAGTCACTTCTGGTGATTTTATTTAAATTTGACGACCAAATGCTCAAATCGACCATGTTTGGGAATATTTTAGTCAATCCTTGTGGGACGTTCTGCATGAAACATTTAATAAATCTGACTTCCTGTACATTGTTGTTTGACTTTCCAGCTTCATGATCTCCTTGGAGGTTTAAGGTTGGATTTTTATCTGCTATTGAGGATAACCACTTGCCTTCAACTTTACAGACATAAACTCTTCTACCGTCCGGATAAGTTTCGAATGAAAAATTACAAAAGATTCCAATATTCGGAAGAAATGCGATGTCTGCAGACATTTCTTGGTGCTTTTTTTCTTTTGTAAATAAATCGCACAAATTTAAAGATTTTTGATTAATTAAAATAAATTATTATTTAAAAGAAATGAGTTAAGCTGCCTCAGTTCATAAGCAACGACTATAAATATTATGATTTTATTATCGGCTGAGGAAAAGACTGATTGGTGACGTTGGAATTTTTATCAAGACTTAACTTTAGATAAGATAACTTAGAAAGGGGAAGTAACTATCAACTTGGTTGAAATACATAATATTTGTAGTCAATGTTGGCTATAATGGGATGATAGTTTAAGTATTGTCTTTTAAAACGTCCTTAAATTGAATCGTGATTTTCAGACCCTCTTCATATAAAAATTTTAGTTTCAGGCTAGTTTGAGGTTAACATAGTCCTGGATTTCACCAAATTCATCTCTTCATACTCAGACACTCGCTAGTTTGGTGTAGCTTTAATGCTTAATCTTATTTCATGCGACATTCGAGTCACACTTTTAACAAGACTTCATTTACCAAATAGCACAAGTTGGTTAATCAAATACATATCCAGCATCAAGCCGGCATGACTCTGACATGGTTTTAACTTAGATTTTAATCCAGCATCAAGTCAGAATCACACCAGCTTGGTGCCGAATTTCTGATCGATTAACCGACTTGTGCCATTCGGGTAAGGACATAAAATAACATTTTTGCAACCCCTTCTGATTTTCTCGATGGTTTTCTTCTTTACTGTGATTAAATTTCGTCATTTTTAGCAACAAATGATAAATTTTGCTGATTCATAATGTTTATTTCATAATATTGTTTAATGTTTTTATCTACACTGCGTCATAAAAGGTCATTGAATCATAAATATTGTTTTTAGAGACGGCTAATCCCATTCACATCCAAGAATCTTCAACAAAATCAATCAACTCTACTTCTGGATACTTATTCTTCATAATGTTCAGAGCTGCTTGTCTTAATTCTTCATGTTCATACTTTTCACTAAAATTCAGCACCTCCAGTGCACTTTCAGCATCAATATGATTTATCAACTTTATTGCAGCAAATTCCTTTAGTTCCTCAATTTTAAATTGCCCAGCAGCAGAAAAAAGATGCAAAAAGTTCGTCCCATTGTCGCCTGGAAGTTCATCAGTGTAGAGAAATTTAAGAATTATCTCAAAAGTTTCCACAGAAATGTCAACTAAGTTTAGATATTCAACTGCTGGATTGACATTAAACAATTCAGCAAAAGTTGGACTTTGAGCTGCAAGAACAATCTTATGGACTGGAAATTCGTGGTCTTTGATGATAATTTTGAAGTCCATAAAAGTTTGATCGGTTTTAAGGAAATTTGTGATTTTTGAGTTGCTGTCAATTTTTGAGGTTAGTTTTGTGTCTAAATTTGGATTAAAATCAAAAGAAGAGATGCTAAGCTTCCTGAGCTGCTGATTCGTCTCATTTAAAGCTTCATTATCAGCACTCAACATTCTATTTTCTATCCTCAGCTTTTTGTTTAATTCCTGCAGCTTTTGGATGCATTCTTGGAAGTTTCTCACTAAATTCTTGACACTTTGGTAATTTTGGTAGAATTTTTCAAAAAGTTCATTTTTAACATCTTCGAGGGTCGCATTTGGTTGATGTTTTGGATAGACTGAGAAAAATTTCGTGTAATTTACATTTCCGCTAAAGTTGACAATTTTCAGGTTATCCAGTCCATCCAAGATTGTTGGTTCGATGATCTTCAACTTGTTTCCATTAAATGCAATGTTTTCTAGATTTTTAAAGGCTTTAAATAAGTCACCAGTGAGGAACTCAATTTCATTATTACAGAAGCTGATCTTCTCCAACTTTTTATACTCAACCAAGTCACTTCTGTCAATATTCCTCAAATTCGAGTACCAAATACTCAAGCTTGTTATATTTGGAAAGGTTTTAGTCAATCCTTGTGGAACTTTCGATATTTCACATTTGTCAAATAAAACTTCAGTTATTGGCTGCATTCTTTTCGTGTATTCATGATGTCCACAGAATTCCAGCTGTGCATTTTCAGGAATTGTTTGATTCATAATAAAGCATGTGTGGGATGACTTGCCATCTGCGTGGCGTCTGACGATGAATTTACAGTCGATCTGCATAGTTAAGAATGATGATTTGTGAATAATCTGTTGAATAAAGTTTAGAATTAGAAAAATAAATGTTTTTAATTGATTTTAGGCGATTTTTCTTATAAAATTTAAAATTTTGAAGCAACTAGACCCTCTAGAACCCCAATTTTGGGTATATACAAGGTCTAACATCCACCTCAGCTCATCTAAACTTACTTCAATCTTTTAAGCATTAACTTTAAGCTACAATAGATAAAATATCCAACTTTAAGCTCACAGCTTTGACAAATTACTATCGAATTATTACAAAACTGATCTCAGCGGCGTCAATTAAACTGCATTGAACATTATAAAAATGCTTTTCGATAAGAATATAATGCGATAAGTCATAAACTATATTTATTGTCCAGCCACAAAGACTGATAAGAGCCAAATCAATAATTTCATCATTAATAGCCTTTCCCATTCCTCTAAACCGTCAAAATATCCACACCAAAACTCATTCTCAAACTTATAACCAACAAGATTCATCACAAAAGCAATAATTAACAAATCATCACAAATAAATTATTCAATTCAACATACGAGTGCATTAGTGAATGTAGATCAGTGACCGACTAACGGTCCTTATTGTCCACAGACATTACCATAATTCTTTAAATAAAAAAAGAAGGCAAAATAAAATGAAATTCACATGCAAATGCACTCAAGTGAATTGAATGATTTGCATTTTGAATACTTAATTTTAATCAAATTGGTGAGTTATGAGGAATAAGGGGGATCCAGTGGGGTGATTTATTGAAAGTAATTTAATTTTTTAAAGATTTTTGAGAACGCTCAATTTAAAAATAACTTTTGTTTAAATTTATATATTTTAAAAAAATTCAGATTCAAAAATTTAAAAATTCAAAAATTAAAAACTCCAAAAACTCAAAAATTCAAAAATCAAAAATTCAAAAATTCAAAAATTCAAAAATTCAAAAATTCAAAAATTCAAAAATTTAAAAACTCAAAAATTTAAAAATTCAAAAATTCAAAAATTCAAAAATTCAAAAATTCAAAAATTCAAAAATTCAAAAATTCAAAAATTCAAAAATTCAAAAATTCAAAAATTCAAAAATTCAAAAATTCAAAAATTCAAAAATTCAAAAATTCAAAAATTCAAAAATTCATCACTTTTATTTTATTTTATTTTTATTTTTTTAATTTATTTAAAATATTAAAGTTTTTATTTTTATTTAAATTTTAAATTAAAAGTTGAAAAAAAACAAAAATTTAAATTTTAAACTGAAAACTGAAAAAAAAATTAAATAATAAAACTCTCAAATTTGGTCAAAAAAATAAAAAAAATAATTTTTATATAACCCTCAAAAAATTCATCCACACGAGTCCCATATAATAATAAATCCACACATAAACAGAATCAAATCAAAGAAGAATCAAAATTGTTAAAAATTCTAAACTCGTCCACAATATTTTTTTTCTGCTTTCATTTGTCCACATTACAATATTGTGAGACACTCGACGAATTTATAATCGCATCCAAAAGGCAGAGAAATAAAAAAAAATCTGAACTTTTATAATTCAGCCTTTTAATTTCAAATTCTTATGTGATGTGACTTTATTAACGGTAAAAAGTACAAAAAAAAGAAGTGCAATTGTGTGCACAAAATCATAAAATTTGTTGAAAAAAATTAAAAATGGGTGCAGGTGAATGTGGAAATGTGAAAGGAGATTGTGAAGGTAAAATTGAAAGATTAAAATTTGTAATTAGTTTGAGGAATTGAAATTCAGATTAGAGTGTTATTAAAAATGCAGAGAAATTGTTTTTTTTTTGGTTTTTTAAATCCAATGGTCAAATTTTTACATTGTTAAATCTTGAAAATTGAGAAAATAAGATCAAATGGTCCAAAAAATAGATGATAATCATCTAAATACAGTTCACTTGGATCCTATCATGTCATTATAGTTTGAGCGGCACAAATCAGTCGTTACAGCATCATCATGACGACATGTTAACACCAAAGCGTCACTAAAACACAAAGAGGGTCTCAAAAGAGCCTTGGTTATTGTCTGGTCATACCAAAGCTCGAATATCAGCAGAACGCCACTTGCAGGGCAGCCTGAGTGGCATCTATAGCAGAAATAAAGATTCTCACAAGATCCTTCGCACCTTTCAGTGCTTAATCATTAAAAAATTCTTTTTTAAACTCTAAACTTTGACCTAAGGCTCAAACAATCCAAATTCATCCCTCACATCATTCTCAAACAAGCCCCAACTTCCCTCAAACTGCAAGCAAATAAAATACTCAGCACAGCCATCCATTAGCCATTATTACATTTAAGATAAAAATGCAATTTTCTTGCACATATTGTTTAATGATGTGTAACATTTGATAAAAATTTACTAATGGCTAATGTCTTCCGTTTCACATTCGTTTTGCCACTGTTTTGTGCTTTCGTGCAATTTTAAGATTTCTTCACATTATTTTAAGTTTGTGTCTTAGTTGGAAGCTATAAATTTATCAATTATTGCTCGTTAGATTGGAAGTGTGAGTGATAAAGGGGGTGTAGGGGCGTTAGAGCGTGGAGCTTGGACTCTTAAGCTATGTTTTAATGTTATACAGCAGAGGTGGTTACAACTCGAGACTTAGGAACCAAACGAAACCAAAAAGTCAGCAGAGAAATCAGTCACCTGGGTGGTGTGGAGCATGTATGATGCTTTACATTAGCCTCATTTCTGCATTGTGATTGTTTTCTCGAAGCTGACCATCGATTTTTGGTAAAGAAAGAAAAATGGGTTCAAAAAAGCGTAACATTAAGGATTTTAGGCAAGATTTTGTGCAAAAAAGTGACGCTCTCCCGCTCGAAAGTGCACAGTTGGTCTTTTGGACTTTTCTGGTCCCGTGTGCTTTTCGGGAGAGTTGTCAAAGAGGAATCCATGCATTAAACCTTTCAGAACAAAACTAGACATCAGGTAAACAAGCACAGCATTCAAGAGTTTGTATTAAATCCAACATTTTAGCATTTTTGTACCAAAATTCCGACAACTTCTCTCGATTTCCTAAAAAAACCTTCAATCTTTGACGTAAATTCTTCAAGCATCTTCTCAATTTTTAACTCAATCCGTCACACTTAATCCAATACTATCTCAACTACGTCCAACACTACAAAATATCAAAAAAACTGTAAATTTTCTCTCTTTTTGTTGCGATCTTCACGACTTTATCTCAATTTTTATTTACCAGTGTGTGAAAAATTTTCTTCGCATTTTCCTCATCAACTTTTTCATTCTGTGTTGCTGTAATGTTTACGATCTATTTATATTTTTCACTATCGCGCTTAAATCAAGAAAAATTTTCAAGAAAAAAAGAGAGAAGAAAATGAGAGAGAAATGAAAATTGTTTTTTGAGAGAAGAGGAAGCGAAAAGAAGTGACAATTTTCTTCTCACAGATCGTTTGGCTTTTACGACTTGATGTCGACGTTGATGATGAATGATGTGATCGGGTGCAGTTTGACATTGCGTTTTATAGGAAATTAAATGGTTTGTGAGAAGGAATTTTGATTATTTTTGAATGGCTGATGTTCTGTTGAGTGTTCTGCACTTCATCTAATGGATAGGTGTAGGTTCCCTATACCTAGGGTGACCATCTAATTTTTATAAAAATACAGGACATATGATAAATTTCCTAAAAAATACAGGACACAAAGGAAAATTTGAAAATTAACGGAAATTTTCGTGAAAAAAATACAGGACCTGGAACAAAATTTTTAAATTTATACAGGACAGGGTTTTGAAATACAGGACTGTCCGTTGTAAAACTACGGATAGTAATTTGAAGAGAGAGGAGTCAAAAAAATTCATATTGAAAATTTAGGGGAAAGGGAGGTATTTTTCATAAAACTGTAGCAAAATTAAGAAATTTCTATAACCACAGGGAGATTTGTCTCCCAAACATCTCCTCCCTCTTTTTCCCTCCCCTTTTTCCCTTCCCCTTTTTCCCCTCCCCCATTTTCCTCCCCCTTTTTTCTCCCAAACATCTCCTCCCTCTTTTTCCCTCCCCTTTTTCCCTCCCCCTTTTTCCCCTCCCCCTTTTTCCTCCCCTTCCCGCTCTTCTTTTTTGCGCACCTGCTAGTCAAATCTGAACTTATAGAATTAGATTAAAGTGCATGCTGGAAAATCAGTCCTAGCAACACTAAACGCCACCCTTCTCCCTCTTCCCCCTTCCTCCCCCGTTTTCCCCCTTCCCATCGCTAATCATAGCGATCATAATCATCACAAAATTTTTAAATTTATACAGGACAGGGTTTTGAAATACAGGACTGTCCGTTGTAAAACTACGGATAGTAATTTGAAGAGAGAGGAGTCAAAAAAATTCATATTGAAAATTTAGGGGAAAGGGAGGTATTTTTCATAAAACTGTAGCAAAATTAAGAAATTTCTATAACCACAGGGAGATTTGTCTCCCAAACATCTCCTCCCTCTTTTTCCCTCCCCTTTTTCCCTTCCCCTTTTTCCCCTCCCCCATTTTCCTCCCCCTTTTTTCTCCCAAACATCTCCTCCCTCTTTTTCCCTCCCCTTTTTCCCTCCCCCTTTTTCCCCTCCCCCTTTTTCCTCCCCTTCCCGCTCTTCTTTTTTGCGCACCTGCTAGTCAAATCTGAACTTATAGAATTAGATTAAAGTGCATGCTGGAAAATCAGTCCTAGCAACACTAAACGCCACCCTTCTCCCTCTTCCCCCTTCCTCCCCCGTTTTCCCCCTTCCCATCGCTAATCAAAAAACATCCCCAAAACAATTTAAACAAAAATTCCAACAGTCAAAAATTCCTCAATTAAAAAGTCACTGATCCTCCAACATCAACCGCATTAAACGTAAACAGCCATGCAAGTCTTTCCGTCGTGCATTTAGATAAGTTTCATTCTCAACACCTGTTTTAACTTTCTTCTTCCCGCTCGTAATTAAATTAAATGAAAATATTTTGAAATTTTATATATTATTTTTTCGACTCACTTACACAGTCACTCGAGATGATTTTTTCGTTAAAAATAAAATTGCATTGAAATTTTCTTATATTCAGAATGATGTTGTCGATGTAATTAATCATTAGTTGAGGAAGTTAGATGACTATGACGGTCGTGTGATTGAGAAAAATAATTTTTTTTTTTGATATTTTATTTCGATGAAGTTGTGAATTATAAACTTGAAAAGTTTTTGTTTATTTTAACTTTTTTTATATTGATTATTTGCATTATGAACTTTTAATGTTGCATGGAAATTTTTATTTGTTTTTTAATCTTCTTTAAATTTAAGCTTGCTTTTTTAAGCAATTTGTTGTAGTTTTTGAGGACAATGAGTGAATTTTGGTATATTAGAGCTAGGTTGAGTTGACTGTGGTGTCAAAAATGCACGATTTTAGCTAAATTAAGTTTATTTGAGAGAATGTTTATTAAATAGAGTTACCTTGAAGAGCTTCAAGTAAGTCGTATGTTTAGAATCTTGTTAAAAATGCGAAGCTTTGTTGTGAAACTCCTATATTGAGTTATAATCGCATTTAATCATTTTGATGAGATCAACACAATTGGTTTGAAGTCGATCCATCTTTTGTTTGAAGTCAAGTCAAGAGTGTAGCAAGATTGTAAGTGCAATTAAGGCTGTGGTCTTCATTGCCATTACAAAATGATATTTAATTCCATCAATAGAGTTTCCCATTTTATTCACGAAGTTTGTGGCTCTTACCTTAGTAAACTAGGGCTGATTAGATTGTTTCCTTCAAAACCTAATAAACTCAAAGCCATAAGTCGAAAGGAATTGACTCAAGTCGGCTCAGGATTTTTCGAGTTGACTTGAGTCGAGTCGAGTCGAGTCGACTTCATTATATTCAAGTCTAGTCGAATTAACTCGAGTCCATACGAACCTGAGCTCTGACAAAGCTTCAATTTGATTTCAAGATCTTCAAAGTGTCAAATACTTTGCATGAATTAAGTCTTTTATTATCTTGCACGTTTCTACTTTTTTAATTAATTTGCTTTACTAATATCTTAACCTCTTTATACTAAAATTTATCTAGATGACCACACTAGCTTGGTCACTTTTCTGTCAAAAAACAAATCAATGTTTAATTATAATTTATTCTTTAACTATCTGTGTCACTTGATGGTTGGTGTATAAGATTTGTATCCAATAATTTAAACCCTCAATGTGTGTTCTTTCATTTTTATTTTACTTGTGTAATTCATGTTTATTAATTGGACAGTTGTTTGATCTGAGCAGGATCATTTGAGTTAGGATTGTTGGTTTGGGAATAAGGTCTGAATTCAGAGCAGCATGCAGTTGCAAGTCTCACTTATTACTGTCAAATTACTTAAAAACTGCCATAACGATGCAATTGAGGCACCAACGAGTCTTTTGGATGCTTTAGTGTCAGTTTATAGACTTTGTTGTGCTGCTCTGGAAGCTTACCTTATTGTACAAAAGCCATCATATCTACAGAAACAGTTATTAAGCTAAATATGCTCAGAAAAATTAAATTAAATTTAGAAATTTCAAAAAATTGAAGAATTTTGAAGAATTTTTTTCAGTAAAATTTAAAAGAATCTTCAATCTTCTTCAACCCTTCTTACTATCTGTCGTAGACTCAATGTGTCATTTTTGCAAGTTTTGTCATACATTTTACAACAATTTCTCCATCAACAGTTTAATAAAATTTAAATATTTATTTTCTCACGTTCACAGGATGAGTTTCATCCGTTCATTGAGGCACTCCTGCCATTCGTCAAGTCATTCTCATACACATGGTTTAATTTGCAAGCGGCAAAGCGAAAATACTACAAGAAGCATGAGAAGAGAATGTCATTGGAGGAGGAGAGGCATTGCAAGGATGAGTTGCAGGTAATTTTGGATCATATTTGGGTATCGATTTCTTGGACATGAAAACCATGACTTGACACCAAATCTCAAATTCTAATCCACTACAGAATGAAAAACCAGAAGTAAAACAAAAATGGGCATCGAGACTTTTAGGAAAGCTTAGAAAAGACATCACACAAGAGTGTCGTGAAGATTTTGTGCAAAGCATAACTGGAAAGCGACAGTCAATATGTGTACTATCTAATCCCGATCAAAAAGGCAAAATGAGGCGGATCGATTGTCTGCGGCAGGCTGATAAGGTAAAAACTGTCAATTTGTTTCTCAACATAACCTCAAAATGTTTAAATTCAACATTTTAGGTCTGGAGATTGGATCTAGTGATGGTGATTTTATTTAAGGCAATACCGTTGGAAAGTACGGACGGTGAACGGCTGGAGAAGAATCCTGAATGTTCACAACCCGGTCTATGTGTGAATCCCTACCACATTAATGTTTCTGTTCGTGAACTTGATCTTTATTTAGCTAATTTTATTAATAGTCATGGTGAGTACTGCTCATAACCTTAAATTTATGAAACCTAACCTCAAAATTTTGAGAAATACCCTTAGATTTATGGAACCTAACCTCAAAATTTTGAGAAATAACCTTAAATTTATGGAATCTAACCTCAAAATTTTGAAAAATAACCTCAAACTTTTGAAACATAAATTCAATTTTTTGGATAATAACCTCAAATTTTGGAACATAACCTCAAAATTTTGTAAAATAAATTTTTGACCTTTATCCTCAAATCGGGACACATATCCTACAAAATCTGAGAATATAACTCCAAAACTATCCGCATAACCTCAAAAAATCAATTCTCATTCCAGATTTCATAAGTTGCAGTAGTTATACGATTAACAATAACAATAGTCCAAATAGCAATAGTAACAATAATAAAAAGGACGAGGAACGAAAGCACAAAGTTTACGCTCATAATCCATACAATGGAGTCGTCTACAATGACATAATTCTGGCGACGGGAGTCTTCTCGTCAAAAGAATTATGGAAGCTATCTAAAGGTAGCGGTGAGTTGAAATGAACTGAGAAAATCAAATTTGTAATGAAACTATTTTTTCCGAAATTTGCAGCATCGATTTTGCAAGACACAAGTGACCAGAATATTCTGCAGACATCGACGAGTAACAGTAGCAATGGAAGTGCAGCTAATAATCCGAATCCTGGAAGCATTAAAATTGAGAATTCGAATTCTTATTATTGTAACAGCTACTCAAGTCCATTGCAAGGAAGTACACCAGCGATATCGGCAATTACTGGTGGATATAGTAAGATAAATGACTCTAACTTCAAAAATTTCAATTCTAACCTCAAAATTATATTTTAGTTGACTCAAATTCAGGATTCTCCGTGATTCTACGTCCCAATGACACTCAACTTAACTCAAATCATGATCAGTTGTCACTCCAACGTTATGCAACACACCCAGCTACTCGTCTAATCTCTCGACACGATAGTGCCCTCTTAAGTCAACAGCAACAAGTGGTCAGTCCTAGTTCAGTATTCTTTCAACATAGCCCATCAGCATCCGAGCATGAGAATCAGAATCTCGAGACGGAAGGATCATCAGCGAGTGCAGCAACTGGAGGCAATAAATATGGAGAATGTCCTTCGAATGGACATGACACGTTGTCTGATTTTGTGACTTTTGTGTGTCAAGAGAGTGAACAGTCAGGACAAACTAATGGACATAGACACAGCCCCAAGACACAACAGTATACGCAATATAATACGATGCTCCCACCGCCTCCTTTACCTCCTGTAACTGGACCTCTACCGCCAATGGCTGTTCCAGTTACATCAGGGTATTCAGGTTGGTGTAGTCTATAACTTATTAAACTTTAGTTCCAAACCTATAATAATGTCAGACTCTTACGATATTCCAGGCGAATCAATAAAAGGAGAAACAGACATCCGTGACTTTCCTGTGCCAATGGCTCGACCAGTCGCCATCATACGATCCAGTGATCTCACAATGGTTAATTCACCGCCAACTCCACCTGCCAATTCAATGTCATCACCACATCCAGATCATTCAGATCATGTGGGACAAAATGACATTAATCAATCACCACCGGATAGTCCACAGGCACAAATGGAAAGGAAGGGATTAAGTCGAATTGCGAGTCCATATGCACCGAGTCGGGACTATGCTTTTAATCATTTTCATAGTCAACAGACGCAGGTATGGGGAGAGTTTGAGGTTAATTTTTGTATTATTTTGATATCTTACTCAGAATTGATCCCTCGGAGATACCCTAAAGTCAGGGGTAAAGTCTATATGAAAAGTTTGACTTGTGGTGTACTTGATTAAGGGATCCTTGGTTTTAGGAAAGTCTCTAGAATATCTTAAGATTAAAATAAATTTTTTCTTCAGCTTTTCAGTTATCCATCATCAATCTCAACGATGTCTGGAGTCATTAGCCCAACGAATTTAAGTTTATACTCAACGCCAGTGACAACACCGAGGTCAACGCCTAGAACTAGATGGAATAATCCATTTTTGCTGGAGGAGGACTTTAATATGATGACACATCCGGTGTCAAACAATAATCCTGATTCAGTTATACTTATGGAGGAAGGTAATGTTGGATTTAAAGGGGTTTAGCTGTATATCTTCATGGAGGGGACCCTTCGAACCCCTAAAAAATCCACATTCAACAAACTAATTTCTAAATATTTTTTAGATAGATTTTTTCAAACATCATCAGCATCTGATTCAGCAACCACACATTTAGATCATAGCCTGATTGTTGCCTCAACAGCAGCTATAACGTGCTCGAGTGATCATGTGATTAGTCATGGCGATGAAACGCATCAAATCGATAAGCATGGAAATTTAATTATTTCACCGAAACCCGAGGTGCTTTAAATAATTTTTTTTAAATAAACTCGCGAAAAAAAGCATTTGTTTTGTAAAAATGCGCTAAACTTAAATAAAAAAAAGATGTGTCAATTGAGAAGAAAGTCATTTTGGCACCTAAGTTAATATTGAAATGTTGTTGATAAAATATGAAAAAAAAATTGACTTACTTGAACTGAAGCCTAAGGTACGTGCCTTAGTAATTAACTCAAAAAAAAAACTATTCGACGAAAACATTTTTGAATGTAAAAAAGTAAAAATAATTATTGAAAGATGAAAATTGTGAGAAAAATTACTGCAATAAAAACAGAAAGACGTAAAGTTTGGAAGCTGTGGTGGGTTGATAATCTTAAAACTAGGCTGTAGATCAGTGAAACATTAGATTTGACTATGATAATCGTCGTTTTAATTGAAAATTAACCCTGTTTAAGGTCGCGTAGGTTTTTCAAAACTAGGCGAATAAGGCTAGCCATGTAAATTTTATGGTCCTAAACGCCTTGTTTTACTCAAGGTCTAGCCTAGGTTAATCTTAGAATTCATAGGTAACCTTAGTTTTGGCTTAGGGTGCAACTTCGTCTAAGTATTAGTCAATGATGGTCAAACTCTTGCAAATTTCTTAGGCAAAGCTATTTAAACTTTGTTTTGAGATGCATTAGTGTCGTCAGTGCCTTCAGATGTCCTACTAGGTTGTACCTAATGAATAGCCTTAGATTCAAAAACACTGACTAATGTCTTTGATACAGAATCAATTAGTTTTCACAATTTCATACTTAAGCAAGCTATTCACAACCATTACAACAATCATAATGCTAATTACAGTCAGAAAATCTCTACCATGGTCAAATATAATTGTCTAATGCAGTGGTGTACATCCTTTTTTGTGCCATGGCACACTTGGTGGTAAGTCATGATTAACAATATGGGTTATCCCATATTTCTTCACGGCATAGTAGTGTGCCTTGGCACATGGGTTGGCCATCACTGGTCTGATGCATGAATTTCAAACCAAAAAAGCCAGTAAGATCCTAAAAGTGACCCACAAGTTTCCAAACAAAAACATAAAAATGCTTTAAAACACTTACACATGTTATAAACTGTTAAAAATGTGGCACGAGGCCGAAAAACTTGACAAAATTTCTTATTAAAGAAATTATTCTAAAAATTAAGAAAATAAAATAAATTTTTTTGTTAAAAACCTTTTTAATGTCATTTTGTTTCAAAAAACCAAGTTTTTTTCTTAATTAATTGTAGAAAATACTTAACATTTAGGAAACATTGAAAATGAACTGAAAGCTTTGATAGAAATTAATGATGAAAAAAAATAAAATTATTAATCCTTTATATAGAGACGAACATTACAATACATACAATAATTAAAGTAAAGTTAAAGATGAATTTATAATCAAAAGAAAAAAATATGAAAGTTGTAAAAAGATGTGAATTGAAAATTTTGAGGCGATAAAGTGCTGAAAAGTATTAGTTTTGAAAGTCATGAATTGATTTTTGGGACAAAATCAACATCCAGGAAGATCAAGCATGCACAAAAAGCAATAAATATTCAATAGAAATACTGGCTGAGTTTGAATTTTGTTAATACAATTAAGAACAAAAAAGCTTAAAAAGTTTTAAATTTTTATGAAAATCTCAAAAAAATAAGAATTTAAACTTTTGAATATTCTTGAAAAGTTTTTGAAAAATTATTTGAGTTTTTTGAAAAGTTCTTAAAAGTTTGTAAAAGCTCAGACATCAATTCCGTTATATGAAAATAATCAAAACTAAACTCATAAATTCAAACAATTTAGAAGCGAGAAAAAAAGTTGAAAACTTTTTAAATTAAAAAATTGTAGCCAAAAATTGCCTTTGAAAAAAAAATAATTTTTGAAAAACTCCCAAAACTATGAAAAAAATACAACAAAAAAACTGTTTGATAAAAAAGTTTAAAATGAAAAGTAAAAAAGCAGTTAGACAATAAAATATTTAAAAAGGAGTAAAAACGTTTTTCGCTATAAATACCAGGGAGATGAGATTAAAATGTAATCAAAAGCCGTTATATAATTATATAATGAAAAATAATAACAATAATAATTAATTATTATAATATTCTAAATCAACAATTTATAAATATACGTAAATGACATTCAATTATGCTCAGTAGTGAAACTTTTTTGATGGTTTTTGGTTACAAAAATTTTGATTTTTATTTATATTCAACAGTTTTGTAATTTTAATTCTTAAATTTTTTTAATTTTGATTTATTTGGCAACTTAAACTTTATTTTTTTACAATATCAAAAAATATTATTTTCGTAAGTTCAAAATTATTAAAGATTTTTGACATTCAAATTTGAATGTTTTTTCATTTTTTAATTTTTGAAATCAGGTTCGTTTAATTTTTTAAAAATTAAAATTATTTTTTATATTTAAATATTATTATCTTCTAATTGTTAAAATCCAAATTTTATTATTTTCTTTTTTCAAGATGTCCAAGAAAAATCAAAAATAAAAAAATTGGTGCTAAAAATTCTGCGATTTTTCGTTTATTGCTTTTCAAATTTTTTTCAATTTCAATCTTAAATAATTTCATTGTTTAAAAAAACCTAGAGTGATATAGTAAAAAATGAAATAAATTTAGTAGAACTCAATCTATCTATCTTTCTCTTTCTCTTTCTCTAATTCTATCCTTTAACTTCCCCAAATATTTCATTTCTTTCTAATTTGTTCCTTAAAATGTAGAAAATAAGGAAGAAAAAAAGTAATAAAAAATTGCGAATAAGAAGAATAAAAATAAAAAAATAAAAAAGTGAGAAAAAGTTCACCTGTTGATATACAATATTTGCATATATTTTTATAAAATATATATACATACATACAGATATATACATAATTAAATTATTACGATTATTGAAAATATAAATAAAATTATTAACAACAACAACGATTGAATTAAATTATGTAGCAGAAAAATCTTTAATTTGATTAAAGAGTGAACAAGATTAACAAGGATAACCTCAAAATTATTTACATTTTGAGAATTTAAAATAGTAATTTTCAATTTCAATATTTTTACCTTTCTTTTTGTTAAAATTTTTTCAATAAGGATTTTGAACGTTTTTAAACTATTTTTATCTTTTTAGCGCATTTTCCTATCAGGAAATGACGCTATTGTCCCCACTTTGTCTGTCCGTCTGTCTGTCTGTCTGTCCGTGTATCTCCTCCTCCAGTTTAAGCTTTTTTGATACGGTTTTTGCCTTATAATATTTGTGCTATTTCTGGCTAGAACTGGCCAAAAAATCAGAAAGATTGGTGCACAGGAAGGTTAATTAAATTAACTTTTAAAAATTTTCACCTACAAAGTCACGTGATTATTCTGGGCGAAGTCACTAAAAAGGTGACTTTTTCACAACCCTCCGGTCGCTGGTTCAAGCCTCACAACGAGCAACTTTTTTTTTCATTCTTTTTTACACTTTTTTGATATATTATTGTTTGTTATGGTGTTTGGTGTTCAAATTTTCAATTTTCAAAATTTTCCGGCCATTTTCCGAGTTTTTCTCGAAGATTTATACTTTTTTCAATACATTTTTCATACAAAATTACTTTTTTTGCCATAACTTTTGTATCTTTTACCCTATTGAGCTGAAATTTGACAAGTAGACACAGTGGCTGTTCCTGAATATGGAACCGACTCCATTTATGATTCCAGGGTTGGTAACCTACGTAAAAAAATTTTTTGCGTTGACTTTGAAATTTCTTGATTTTATGAGCTGAAATTTGGCAAGTAGACACAGTGGTTGTTCTTGAATATGGAACCAACGCCATTTTATGATTCCAGGGTTGGTAAACTATATAAAAAAGATTTTTTCGTTGACTTTGAAATTTTTTGATTTTATGAGCTGAAATTTGGCAAATAGACACAGTGGCTGTTCCTGAATATGGAACCGACTCCACTTATGATTCCAGGGTTGGTAACCTACGTAAAAGTTGATTTGAACTTTTGACCGTTTTTTTTAAATGTATTGAGTTTTTAGATTTTAATTTCTACTCGAATTCTGTGCGGAGAAAATGCGCTTCGGTCGATCACGTGTGATCACCTCTTTACTAGTTTGGTTTTTTTGAAGTATTAATAATTTTTTAAAGATTTCTTAAAAATCAAAACAATAAAAGTGTTATATTTTCAAAATTCGTGTTTTAAATGTCTAAAGTTCTCAAAAATTCAAAATTTTGAGGTTATGACCCAGTAAAAGAGCCAAAACAATAAAAGGATCATCGAACTTTTTTTGAAATTGAAATAAAAAAAAAATCGTTAAATAATAATTAATTAAAATTAAGTGAAAACTAGAAATGACTTCCATAATAATTTAGATAGCTCTTCATAGTGCTTTGAAGTTTTTATTTTTTTGTTTTTCATAAAGTTTTTAGATGAATTTTTTTATTTTGCTGATTGATGAAAAATTTCTGTCAGCGTAGAACTCGTGATTAGAGTTAAGGTTATTTTATTTGAAATTATAAAGAGTTTTTAAATAAATTTAGAATTTAAAAAATATCAAGCATTATTAAAAAATGTTTTACAGTTTTTAAAATTCCAAAATTGTTTAAAAATTAAATTTTTTGTTTGTAAATTTAGTTAAAAATCGATTATTTTGTAGAAATCATTTTGCATAGCTGAAAAAAGTTCTTCCTTATTTATTGACAATTTAAATGTTAGCACAAAAAATATAGAAAATAAAAAAAAGTGAAACCTTGTAGAATAAAGATTAAAAAACAAATAAAAAATCTCAAAAAAAATTGCACAAAAAGTCCTTTTTTTCTCATTCTTTAAGTTATGTATTTGTAATGTATTTTTGACATTTATATAAATTTGAAATGAATTAAAACGAAATTAACGAATTATAAAAAAAAGAAAAAAAAAACATTAAAGTGCCAACTAATCGTAGGAAATTCATAGAAAATTTAAAACAAGAATTAATAAAAAGTTTTTCAGCATTTTTGTTTTGCTTTTGTGAAGGTTGAGATGTGATTTTTGAAATTAATTTTGAGGTTACAGTTATAAGATTTTTAACATTCGAACTATAGTTTTGATTGTTTTTGATTGTTTTAATCGAATTTAATTTATTTTGTTCACAAAGCGCATTAGTGATATTATTGTTTGTAAAGGTTGATCTTCTCCTTTTTATAAAGCTCATACGAACCTTAATTTCAAGATCTACCTTGCAAGGTACATCTAACGGTACGAAAAGTAACTTTTTGTTCCTCAACTATTCAAAAATTACTTAAATTTCGAAATTTAAGATTCAAAAGTTAAGTTTTTGCCATGAAAATTGTCAAAATTGATCTTAAATGACTTTACAGAGTTGTTTTTGAGCCTGTTTATCTTCAAAAATAAAATTTCCTGTCTTGGAAGTTCTCCTTAAGTGTACACTGTCAAATCATGCAGATCTGATGCAAAATTTAACTCTAGCCTTAGTCAAATCTTCACAAAAAACCAAACAAAAAATTAAAAACAAAAAAAAAACTCAAAGTGCTGAAAAAAATGAAAACTTTACAGTTTAAAAAAGTAATTTAATTATATAAAAATATTGTAGAATTTTTAATAAGAAAAAAAATATTTAAAAATGAAAAAAAAGTTTAGAAAACGCAGAAAAAAATTTAACTCAACGAAAAACTCAATAAGAAAGTTGAAAAAAATAGTGAAACTATATACAACATTTATTAATGACAAAAATACTCATTTAAAAAAATCCTAAAGGACGTAAAAGTTTATCATTGCTGGATATTATTTGAATAAGTAATGGCTAGCGATGATGAACTTGAATGACTCGGGAGCTCTTATGTTAATTTAAAAAAAGCTGAAAACAATAAAATTTAAAAAAATGAACGAAGTTTTTGTGGTTTTTTTTCTCTACGTGTTTCAGAGAATTGTTGAATACTGTAATTCGTGCTGATCAGAGGTGGAGTTGGAGTTGGAGTTGGAGTTGCAGACCATTTCTTGCTGTCTTCTAAATTTTAAATTCAATCGATTGTTTATTTTTATGCTATTTTGACTCATCGCCAGGGGAATGAGTGATAAGATTCCATCGATTTCCATAAAAAATGATCCAAATGAATCCACTATTTTCCCAGGTATTTTCCTTTGAGTGTTTAAAAGCCTGATTTATTATCGCCATTTTTAATCTTGAAATAATAATAAATCTGCAAGCCTTCCGGATCATCCTTTGAATAAATCTTTATGGAAGTCTTATAATCGCCATCTGGAAACCATCCACCACTTTGTAGTGTTGGCTTGTTACTATTAGCAACTTTTGGACATCCACCATCAGCCATACTTTCTGTGTAATTTAAAGCTACAGGACCTGGCAAGACTGGACATTCACGACATAAATTTGGATAATTTTTCTTACATTCAACGAAGAAATTGCTGAAATGAAGCAACGGATTGACAACAACTTCACATAATTTGATATTTTTGAAATTAAAGACTTGATTGTAGTTTCGTGAGTTTGGAGATTTGTATAATAATTGAAGGTCAAGCTAGAAGACAATAATTAACATATTTGGTTTGTTTTAAAGGAACTAAAATTCTTACAAATGCATGATTGACCTTCTTCGTTACTTCAGCTTCAAAAATTAACATTGAATTGTATCGAGCAATTGGACTTGTCCTACATTTTTTGATCTTTAGTGTTTTATTGCTAGACGTGCACTCAGACTTGTAGTGATAGTGGCAGTACTGAAAAAAATAAATAAAATTTCAAGTCAACTTGAGTCGAGATCGAACTCTGAACTGCTGATAATGTGTAAAATTCAGATTAAGAGTCAATTCAAGGTTAAGTACTAAATTATTGTTGAGGTTGCAGAGTAGATTGGAATCTGAGAGATCATGCGTGTCTAAGCGAATCTACCAGTCCGAGCACAAGGTTTCTGAGGTCCAGCAGCAAGACAACAGACCGAATACCATCTTTTGTGAGGACGTAGGTTCAAGACCCAACAGAGACCGATCTCTTAATTCTTTATATAGAGACTTGCCGACATGACAAAGATTCAGGCAATGCTCATAACATTACAATTGTAAATCAAAATATTCCTTACGTAAGTCGCCGTGACAAGTGAAAAATATGAAATAAAAAATAATTTAGAGATTAAATCCATTGAAACAGTCAAGTCAGCACTTGAGAAACTATTGAAAAATTTAAAAATTTCTCAAAATTTTGAGCTTCCGTAATTTAAAATTATTATGAAAAATTAAAAAATAAATTGACCGATTTTTAATTTTAATTTGATGTTTAACTGATGGTTTTTAAATATGCCAATAACTTTTTATCATTTCATATAGCTGTCGACTGTGCACTTATTAGAAAGCTTTTTCAAACAATATCTCGCCCAAAATCTTTAGCTTCCTGGTTATTAAAACTGTTTTTTTTTTGTTTGAAAATGTTTTAAATTTTGGTTTTTCATGCTTTTTTGAAGCTATAATCAGGATATGCAAAGCTATTTTGTCAAAAAATTTAACAAAAACTGATAGACAGCCTCATGTCAGTAAATTATGAACAAATTACTCCATTTTTATCAAACTTTTCGAACTACTCTTAAAAAATTCAAAAATATAGAGAAGACACAACCTAGAGCCAGACCTCTTATTATAAACTCCTGATAACACCTTAAGTAATAAGCAGGGTTCTAGCGAAGCTATATGGCATCAAATCTATCAGACTAGAGCTCCCAAATCAAGAGAAGGCTATGCTATTGCTAATAGCTCTATATCCGTTGGTTAAGTCATTAATTAAACAAACAAAAATGCCATCGGATTTATCATAAAATATCTGATTTTTTCTCTCATCATTGTCTTAATTGCTATTCTTCTCATCGGCATATGAATCACCCGACAACACATTTTCTTCCTGAAAATAAAAAAAAAACTGTTTTTCATGTTTTTCATCCGAACGATCGCGTGTTTTTTCTCTTCTTTAATGCCGACTGCTCACTTTTCAAGTTTTAAAATCTCAGAGAAATTTATTTTTAAAAAGATCGTAAGATGATCCAATGAGAGGAAATTCATCTCATGAAAAGAAAAATTTTTCATTCATTTTCAGTTTGATGAAAATTTTTGCGTGCCTCGGGAAGTGTTGAAGTGGATTAAAATTATTTAAATTGAATAATTCGGCCTTGATAGTGCACAAAAGTTGACAAAAATATCGAAATAATGTAAACAAGTTCGATTTGAAATGAAAGTTCACAAAAAAACTCCAGAAAATTGTGGAAAATCGTGTTGAAAATTTGAATTGAAATTTTTTTTTGTGAAAATTTTTTTTCGCCCCAGAAAAAAGTGCTCAACATTCGCTCGGGCTGACTTTTTTTCCACTTTTTTTTCTTTCTTTTTTTTGTGATGCGAAAAGAAAGAAAAAAGATTTTTCATTTGTGATCTGGCGATTTTTTTTCCTTCATCATCACATTGTCGCTATTGTTGTTGTTGTTTTTTTTTGTATATTTTGTGCCTGTTTCACTGGTTGGTGAAATTTGAGAAAAATTTTGTAATCATTTTTCAGTGAATTTTAATAAAAAATTGAAAGTTTGTGTGAAGAAATTAAATTTTAAGAATTTTTTAATAAAATTGCAACAAAATAAAGCAAAGAAGTTAAAAATAAATTAATAAATTATTAAAAAGTGCAAATCTAGCTTCTTTGTTGATTATTACACAATTTACAGTGCAAAATATATTTTTAAATATAAAATGTCAAAATAGAAAAAAAATTTATAAAAATAAAAATATTGAATAATTAAAAGTGATCAATTCTTCGAATTCAATCAAAATATCACAAACATAAGGATTAAATTCACATATTAAACAGGTAATTAACAATTTTTAATTCATGACTTTACTTTAAGTTCTACAGTTTTACAAGATTCAACTTTATTCAGATTAGGTTTAGAATAAAAATCGTGCTTCGTTGTTAAAATTTGTATTAAACTAGTAGAAAACTTTTAAATATGCATTAAACTGAAGCTGAGCCTTAGGCTGAATCTGAACTTTAGGCTAAAGCTGAACCGTCGGTTGAAGCTGAACCTTAGGCTGAAGCTGAACCTTAGATTGAAGCTGAACTTTAGGCTGAATCTCAACCTTAGGCTGAAGCTGAACCTAAGTCTAAAGCTGAACTTTAGGCTGAAGCAGAACTTTAGGCTGAAGCTCAACCTTAGGCTGAAACTGAACCGTTGGCTGAAGCTGAACCTTAGGCTGAAGCTTAACCTTATGCTGAAGCTGAACCTAAGGTTGAAGCTAAACCTTCGGCTGAATTTGAACCTTAGGTTAAACCTGAAACTTCGGCTAAAGCTAAGCGTTAGGCTGAAGCTATATGTCAATCTAAATTTCAAGCAGCAGACTGAAGCTTGAAGTCAAACATAAGCTGAATGATAGGCTGAAACTTAACGTTGGGTGAAAGCAAATGCTTTTTTGAACTCAAAAGTCAGACCAAAATTAGAATCTTAATCAAAGCTGAGCATCAAATTTAAGCTAAGCATCCAAGCTGGTCAAAAATTATAATAAATTTAAAACCTTGAATTTAAATGTCTTGGTGAAGCTAAGTGTCAAATTTAAGTTTAGAATCAAACAAAAGTTGAGCGTTATGTTGAAGCTGAGCTTTAAAATAATACTGAGTGTTTGCTTGTAATCAATTGACAGACTAAAGCTGAGCAGTGGAAACATTCTTATCATCGAACAAAAGCTGAATGTGATAGTCAACCTGAATGGGAATGGTTACTGTCCACTAAGTTATAAATCTAAGCTTCGTTCAACAATAGAAAAAAATTATATTTTTCAAAAAAAAAAAATCCCAAAACTTCCTCACAAGTTCATTGTCTTGATTGATCAAATATTGACATAAATAGCTCATTTAATCGTCGAATCAGATCATTAATCATGAATAATTTTGGCATTTTGCGTCATAAAAAATCAACTTTTAAGAAAACAAAGCCAATAATTACACAAGACATGTGTTTGCAGTCAGCAGCTTTCACTTCGATCTTCTCAAATTTTACCTCATCATTGATTCTATTTTTAGTCAATAAAAAACAACAGGCACAAATTCCAGCTGCAAAATTTTCCTTTTTTTTTTGTGATAAATTTTCATGAAACAAAAAATTCTTCAAAGATTTTTGCATTAAAAAAGAATTTTCCCATTAAATATAATTTTAAACAAAAACAGCCAGAAACTATTTATCATATTCAAAACATTTCGACGTCACTGGCAGTTGATGTGTCAGCGTGAATATGGAGCACGGAAATTTTATGAATCACAGAGAGGAATTGAAAATTGAGATGAAAATTTTTTGCTCTTTTTTTTAAAAATTATCTCAGAGAATTTTTTTTCTTGAGTTTTTGGTTCTCTTTGACTCAGCTTTACTCATTTGTGCGAAAATAAATTTACGATGAATTTTAAGGTCGCTTGATCTACGCTTTTCGGTGTGGCGATGTTGATTTTTTTTTTTGGTAACTTTTGTTTAATTCAAAAACAAACTTTTAAAGACAATTTTTTGAAATTTTATTTTTTTCTATTTTAAGAATAAAATTAAGATATTTTAGGTTATGTTCTCCATTGAAAGATAAGAAAATAAGATTTAATTGTTTTGTATATTTTGAAATTGTGAATCGTTTTGGGTTTTGATTAATTTTCCTAGACTGCAATCTTGTGGATGAGTCACGCTTAAAACCTTTTGCGCCAAAAATTCTCCTAATTTTGAAGATGGCATTTCTACAAATAAAAGTGTCAGCAGAGTTGGAATTCAAATTCCCAGGATGTCTATGAAAGATTTCAGATTCTGCAAAATAATTTTAAAATTGCTAATGTTCATTTTTAAATTTTTTTGTCTTCCATTAAATGTATGATTGAATCTGATGACTGTTGAGGCTATTAAAACCAAAGCTTTGATGAGCTTTCCAAATGTTTCATGTTTTGTTGCCCAAAATACAAATGGTGCCATTAGTGTCAGTTGTAGATGAACTGATACAAACCAAATGAACTGAAAATTAAGTAAAAAATTAGATTTTTGTACAGTCAAAGCTATTTTATGAGTTGGTCAAAAATCATATCAGAACTAAAACACTGAGCCAGAAAATATTGTGTTGGCAGTTCCTTGACATCGATATTCTTGCAGACTAAAAAGGTTACCAAAGTCATGAGAATTCTCATATTTATGGCTTGATTTGAAGCTTGACCATGAAGACAATACAAAATAATAAAAAAATTACAGAAGTCTTCGTGTTATTGATCGAGGGACTTAAGCGCATTTTTGTGTTTGCGATCAGTATTTGATTATGTAATTATTTTGCGTTCATTTACAGATCATTAGAAGATTAGAAGATCATTGATTCTAGTGCAATTAGCAAATAATTACAATGAATGCATATAGAAAAGCTTTATTATTTAACGGTCAATAAATAATTTGAAATTTTCCCGCTAAAAGTTGCACTTCAAAAACAATAACTATAGTATAATTAATAATTTGTAGAAATGAATTTCCATATAGAAAAAGTTTATCATTTAACGGTTTTTTGATATTCAAATTTTCTAACAGTCAGTAAGTTTTTGAAAGCTTACGCCAAAAGATACACAAAAAATCATTAATTATAGTATATTTAACAATTTAATATCTTTAATTCTCATAAATAAATTGTTTATCATTTAACGGTTTTCTGAAGTTCAAATTTTGTAACGGTCGTATGCATTTGAAAGTATCTTGCCAAAAGTTACAGTAAAATCATTAATTATAGTATAAATAACAGTCTGTTGCAAAAAATTTTCATTTAAAAAGGCTTTGTAATTCAACGGTTTTTTGAGATTCAAAATTTTTAACGGTAGGAATAAATTCGAATTTCTAAACGCTCTCATCACGTGTTTTTTCATATGAAATATAAAAATCATTAATTATAGGACAAAAAGACTTTTTCAAGACTTTTAAATGCGTTTCCCGAAAATAAAACAATGGACCTGAGCGAATAAAACAAACTAGAACTCTCTACGATGTCTTGTTAAAAAGTTTTTCTCCGCCCGAACGAACAGACATAGTGAGATATTAAGCTACCTTTTAGAAACGAGTTTCAAAAATGCGCTAATAAAATATTGGTAAACTCCGGTACGATCAAAAAGTTTTGAAAAGTTAAAATGAAAAGACACTTTTTGGGATGTTCATTTAAAATCTTTATTAATCTTTTTTGCACAAACTTTCATGTAAATTTTCAAATTCTTTACCGAAAACCAAACAATGGAGAAAAATTGTTACGAACAAGATTAAAATTTTGATCATTTCGTTGCGATCATTTTAATAAAACTGTCGCTTCCAAAGAAATTGATTAAATAATTTAAGTGTATCTGTTTATTCAGTTGATTTTGATGATATTCAGACATTCCAGATGTTCGCTGAGTACAGCACAAGATCTTTTTTCTGTGTCCACAAATAAAATTATTCATTGTAACTTACAAGCTATATGGACATGAATAATTTAAATAAAAATAGTAATTCTCGCCAAAAATTCTCCTAATTTTGAGAATGGCTCCTCAACAAACACAAATGTCAAGAAAGTAGGAATTGAAATTTTCAGGATGTCCATAAAAAATATCAGAATCTATAATAAGAAATTTAATATTTAATTTTTTATGATATAAATTACTAAGTTTTAGATAAACATATCCTTTTGGGCCATTCACTTATTACGTAATTCAAAAATTGACTTTCTAGACCTCTCATTTCCCCCTAAAAGCATTACTTAACAAGTAAACTGCCATTTTTGGATATAAAGATCATTAAAATGAAAAACTAATTAAATACTCACAAAATGGAGCTCGTTCTTAACTTCAAGTGGTTCAAGTTGTCGCTCATAAATTGTAAACTGGATGTACGCTGACATGAGGTAAATGCTAAGACTCATTTTCGAGATTGGTGTCCAAAATTTACTTGATAAAATCTTTTTGAACTTTCCATCTGAATGATGGCATGAATTAATGAGATTTAATAAACTGTAAATTGAAATTATGTCCATAATTGCGGGTAAAATTGAGATTTGTAGCTTTCCAATAATAAAAAATGAAATTAATGTTGAAAGGAACAGAAATGATGCAAAATTTACGGAAACCTGCAATAAAATGAATCAAATTTGTGACTTTAAAAACATCCAAAAAATCAAAAAAAAACTCACAATATTCTTCGTTTTTGACTCGTTGCTTAAAAACCGTTCCAAAAGCAACCCTCCAAAAAATGGCAAAAGCCTGTATTGCGTTGAAATATATTTCGAGAAAATTTCATCATGAAAGGAGCTAAAAAGCATTGAATTTAATTTTGATTATGTCTAATGTTGATTAAAAGTGCACGAAAGGGAAAATTGATTTTCTAAGAAACTTAAATTTGTTTTAACCAGAATAAAAAATTTTTCATTCGTCTTGCTTAGGACTAGCACCTGGTATCCATGGTTTAGGTCAGTGTTGTCCAAACTTTTTTGAGCCACGGCACATCTTAGGGGTAAGCCATTACAAAAGTCGCACCCAGCATTCGGCTTGCGTCATTTACAAAAAAATTTCTACGGCACACCAGTGTGCCGCGGTTCACAGTTTGGACAACACTGATTTAAGTGATGAGGTTGAAGGAAAACGAGCTACTTGATTCTCCAAAATTCCTTTATACATCATTAAGTGCTCCTTAAATCATTCCTCGAACCATGAACAATTGTCAACGTGCTTACTCAAATCCTTGATCACTAAACAGCATGTCGTAATATCCATCAAATGTGTGATTGAATCTGATGACTGTTGATGCAAGTAAAACAAAATATTTGATACCATATCCAAATTTTTCCTGTTTTGTACTCCAAAAGACAAAAGGTGCCATTAGTGTCAGCTGTAGATAGACTGATACGAACCAGATGTATCCAGCGTACTGTGAATAATCAAAGAATTAGATTTTATTAAGTTCAAAGCTATTTTATATGTAATTGTGGCTAGGTTCTTGATCAGCTCTATTCAAACTGCACTCTGCTGTATCGCATGGCTACACATAGCGATTTAGAACCACTGCATAGCTAGATTATCGAAATTTAATCCGGTTCTTCTCCAATATTTGTTCATGGTGGCAATTAAAATATATTTTAAGCTTGAGCTTATCATCAAGAACCTTCTAATGATTTTTAAGAAACTCACGATTTTAGTCACATCCATAAAGTTGAAACTCAATGCCATCCACCAAAATTTCTTGCAATTTTCTTTCTCAATACCGAAGCTGTATGGTACTAAGTTCTCAGAATTTGACGTGAGTGTTAGCACTATTATAAGTGCTGTAACTGGAACTAGGCGACTCAGTCTTTTGATATAAAACATTAAAATTAATAAGAACTTATTGTTGTCTTTATCAAATTCTTTAGATAGAGTTTTTGCAGTCAAAATCCCACCAATAATAAAGAATATTTCCATTAAGGAACCAACAGTTTGTATGGGTAGATAGAAGGCTCCAGTTAGAAGTTCTTGTAAATTTTCTCCACCTTTGAATGGAAATATGATTCTTGTTATTAAACAGTGGTACAAAATAATTAAAATTGTTGTTATAGCTTTTAATCCGTTGAGATAAGCAGTTGATGAGGTTTTGGTGTTGCAGTTGAACAAGTCTTTGACAATAAATAATACACTAAGATTCTCGATCTTCAGGAATGATAAAATAATGGAAACTAATAGAATTCCGGCGAATAATCTAAAATTGTAAAAGATTTTTGAAATTATTAGCTTATTTTATGGAAGTATGATGACTGAACAGGAGATCTTTAGCCAGATCCACACCATCCATCACAATACCTACACAACTCTCTTCAAATTCAACCAATTAAGCATCGAAATTGCCAAATTTTCAATCACATCTTCAGACTTTTTGTTGAATTCCTTTTTGCAATCAATTTTATCTCCAAATGTCAGATTTCTGTCTACAAACATAGATTCTAAGACGTTCTTAACATCCCCGACTGAGCATGAAGAAGGAACACAAACAGCACCAAGAAATGAAGCATCAAGGTTTGTCCAAATATTCTGATATGCTGATAACTTTGGTGGAACTGGAAAAATCATGTCAGAGCTAAAATACTGAACCAGACAATATTGTGTTGATAGTTCCTTGACATCGACATTCTTGCAGACTAAAATGTTACCAAAGTCATGAGAATTTCCATATTTATAGCTAAAGTTGAAGCTTGACCAAGCGGAAAATACTGAAAAAATAAAAAATAATGTCATTAAGTAATGTCTGAAAATACTAATTATACAGTGATCCTATTGATAATGGTTAAGGTTCAATCTTTTTAACGAAAACGAGGAATTTGGTTTTTATTCTTTAAATCAGTGCGAAAGGTCAAATTTGTTTTGACTTAAATGGTTTTAAACTATGTTTTATTAAAACTAATTACACATAAAGCCTTACAATTAAACTTTGTCGCATTTTTATAAAAATTTAATTCATAACTTTGAACACAATCTCTTCCAACTTTTGTATAATTTTCATTAATCATATCTGCATATTTATTGTAAATAGCTGTATTACAATAGCTAATGCTACTTAAAACTATCAACAAAGCTACACAAATATTCAACATTTTTTTAAAAAATTTTCATTCAGATGATTATCACAACTCAACAGCAGACGCTCAACTGCCAAAAATTATCTTCACATTCTTGTATTTCATTTATTGACAGCACAAACAATTGCGTCACAGTTTTAAACACATTATTTTGTGAATATCTAATTGCAGGCATTTTTACTGAAACAATTTTTAAGTAATTATGGAAAACGTAAAGTGATAAAAAAATGAAGTTTTGGAGCAAATTGATTTCATTGGTAATTATTACAACGTTTTATAAAATCTCAGTCCTTAATTAAGGTTTAGAATTTGCTGTCATTTGAATGTTTTGACTGTCAAAATGTCTAATTAAGAGCCAATATGAAATGCTGTTTTTCTGGATCTTTTCGAATAATTTTATTGAAAAATACCACATTTCATTGCTTACTTCCATAGCTGGCGTAGAAGTGAACCCATTGGAGCGACAAGAAACCATCTATATACTTTTAAAGCTTCTGCCAGTTTGGGATACTAAGGACCCACTTGCATCCTTTTCAACACATCCACATTTGAAAAGCTCCACAGAACTAGTTTAATTGTAGACTTAACTCACTTACCTACTTTGGTTGTTTTGCATGTTGGCTAGAAACCAAGAGTGTGGAACTGATTAGATCATCAAAATGTAATTTATCAGTTCTACACACTTGCTAGAAACTTTTTGCCATTTTGGAACTTTAGTTTCCTTTTCAACGCAACCAATTCATGAGTTCGGTCTTTCTTGCCAGTTATCAACTCTGTTCCTGATACTGTAAGTTCTTAGGTGACATATGAGTGTTGTTGACTGATGTGTAGCTAGAGGGGAGGGGGTGGGGTGGTATTTCGTGCACAATCCCTCTTCATCAACGAAAATTTCTTCATTCTGCTTGGGTTTGTACAAAAAATCCACCAAAACCACACGCATTTTTAAATTCATGGCTCTTCCTCTGGTTGTAGCTTTGAACAAAACTTGATGTAAGCTTAATGCTTTTAAAAATAGTTGATTTGGATCAGACTTATTGAAAATAAAGGAAGACAAATCAAGATTTTCAATTACAAACCAAATATATTATGCTCTTTTGGACCCTCTTCCCTCTTGTCAATAAAGTTAAACCTTTCAAAAAATCGAATAAATTTAAAAGCTCAAAACAACAATTTAAAATTCAAATTTACGCAACCATAAAATCAATTTAATTTTGGTTTAATTTTGCACGCATAAATGCGGAAGTAATGATTTAAAAAAAAAATCGTTCGTTTACATTTTTTTTTCTAATGTGAATCAAGAGAAAAATTCTCTGAAAATCCAAAAAGAAAATATTTTTCGATAAGATAAACAGAACATAAAATTTTTTTGTGTTTTGTGTGTGAAAAGTCTTAAAGGGAAAATCCTTATCTGTGACTTTTCATCTCAATCTTTGTTTATTTTGAGAGAAACTCTCACGGAAAATTCAGAGAAAATTTATTTTCCTTTTTCCTCTCTCAAGGACACCTGTTGGACATTTTTATTTCCTTTGTTTGAGGAATTTTGGATGAATTTTTGAGATTCTGAGGAAAATTTGGAGATTTTTTGAGGTTAGAATTGTCAAAATTTGAGATTTTACTCAGAAAATTCGACAATTTTGACTTCAACAAGCATGAAAATCCACAAAAACATTCAATTTTGAACTAATCAACCAAGAAAAGTCTTCACGCATGCCTACAGTCACAGCTCTCACGAAAAAGAGACAAAATAATCCTAAAAATGAGAATCGGAGATGAAAAAATGAGCAAATTTTACATCCAATTTTCATATCCTCAGTCGATAAGAGCAAGTCGCGACATTAACAGCGCCAAATTGTCGGATAACGCAAAAAAACAATTATTCAAAGACTTTTTAAGACGAAAAAAATTACAAAAAAAAATAATTTCTTTAACTTTTTCTTTTAAATTCGAAAAGAGTGAAATAAAAAATTAAAAAATTCGCGGATAAAATCCAAAAAAACTCCTTTTGTGCCTAAAAAATACCCAAAATACGAGAAAGATAAATTAAAAAAAAAAGTTCAACATAAAAAAATTATAGAAAAAAGTGCGTAAAATTTTTTCATAGCGACAACAAAAAAAATATTGCAAAAAAAAGTTTATTTCTATGCCAATTTGCCACTCCTAAAAGCGAGGAAGGAAAGAAAAAAAATTTCCATCATCGAAGAGGAAAAACTCTCGAAATTTTTATTATTTTTTTTTCACATTTCCAACATCAACCATGTTTGAGACATCCAGTGCTGCATAATTAAGTCATTGAAAGGAAAATAATTTAGTTTTTGTTGTTGTTGTTTTCTTGGATCTTGTGTGGAGATTGAATCTGTAAACATCTGGTGGACTTTTTTGGCGGGATAAATTGGGATTTGTGAACAGTTTTTGGAAGTTTTGATCAAAAATTTTAAATTTTGAATTGATTTTGATTTTTAAAAATTAAAAGTTGTTTCAAAATTTCAAACTTTTATAATATTTTGATTTAGCATTTCTAAGCATTATTGACAGAATTAAACATATTAAACATAGTGACGAGTTGAAGGTCTAGCTTTCTTTGTGCTGAACAGGCGCGTAGCAAGGAGGGTATTGTCCCCCTTAAGCGTTTTAGGCCGTGCTCTCGCTACGGTTCAAGACATTTAAGGGGGGGGGGGGCAAGACCCTTCTGGCTACGCGCCTGATGCTTAATAATCTTAAGCTAATGCCAAGCATTAACTGAGTTTTTGATCAGAATAATTGGATGGGGATGGGGATGGGGATGGGGGGGGGGTCATTTTGTCAAAAAGTTCCAGACAACTGAGTAGCTTTGTACTTGCAGGAAGTTGTCAAGCCTCAATACCACAAATGCCTTTGCTATATCTTACCATTATATAAGATCAACATTAAGATTTCACAAACTTCAAACTCAACTCCATTGTGCACTCCATAAATGCTGCCTGGACTTAGTATCTGTACATCTGAACACATCCAACTATTAATGCTACTCCCGTGATTCCAAATCACTTTGTCCCTCTTCAAAAATATTAATTCTTCAATTCATATCCAAACAAAAATTGTCTTTTGACCTTTAAATATGTTAATCATGTGTCATGACCTCATTGTAGCATCCTTGTCTATATGCCTAATAGTTTCCTTTCTTTTCTTCTTCTTTTTTGCTATTCCCATCGGATGCTTTTAAACTAAGCTTGAGATCGTCTTTCAAATGCATTATTTTTCCTTTGATGATAAATCTTTCTTTAGTTGACATCCTTTTTAATGTTGTCTTGGATGAGAATGTCATCCAATCTTGGTGCTTATTTATTGTATCAGAAAAACTTAATTGAATTTTATTTAAGATTTTTTAAAGATTCATTATTTGACTTTTGCAAATTAGATGAACTTTATTTTTAAGTTTTAATGGAAAGCATAAAAAAATTATATTGTAAATTCTTGAATTTAAATTTAAAACAATTTAAAATTTAAAATTTAAATTAGTGACATTAGCTTTAGTAAGACTAAGTTGGGGGCAGCTGGTCTCACTAAAACAAGTCTTACTGTCATTACCATGAAATTTTGAATGCAAATAGTACGATAGGCAGGGACAGAGGTAGAGTCAGTAGTGTTACAGGGGATGAAGGGGGGGGGGGGGTTGACTTTTTACGTTTGGTGAGGGTGGAACTCATCACAACCACCTTTCTTCTCCTGGCTTTGTCAATGTTATGAACATTTACCAGAGGTCGAAGTCGATGAAGCAAACTCACTTCACTTCACTAAAATTTCAATCGGTTTCAAGTCAGCTCGAGTGAACTCATTTTTTTCGTGTTCACTTTAGTCGACTTGAAACCGAGTTGATATTTTCGTGTTCACTTTAGTCGACTTGAAACCGACTTAAGTTCACTAAGGAAAAAAAAAATGTAATATACCAAACTGATTTCTGCTAGTGCTTGTGAAGTATAAGTGATTACATACAAAATTGCAGAATTTGTCCTTTTTTACTTTTCATAACCATAAAGCAAACTAAACGAATTAATTTAAAATATTTTTTAGATTTCATATATTTTATAAATGTTTTGCACTATAGACTATTTTTCTGATTTGAAAATAATTTATTACGAACTGCTACAATTATGAATGAAATTATTTTAATTCACACCATATTTCCAATTTTGGTGAATATATTTCAATCTCATATTTATTTGTTTGATAACATTGATATATTGATAAGTGCACTGAATGAATCGTAAATTCTATTTTTCTTCTCACTTGTTTTTAATTTCACCATTAAATATAACACTTCTTTTTTAATTATAGAGTTAAATTTCTTTAAGGTACAAACATAAATAATGAAAAAAATTTAAAACTTGAATTATAATAAACTGGAAGTTTGAAAAATATTTTAAATTAATTCGTTTAGTTTGCTATATGGTTATGAAAAGTAAAAAAGGACAAATTCTGCAATTTTGAATGTAATCACATATACTTCACAAGTACTAGCAGAAATCAGTTTGGTAAATTACATTTTTTTTTCCTTAGTGAACTCAAGTCGGTTTCAAGTCGACTAAAGTGAACACAAAAATATCAACTCGGTTAAAAGTCGACTCGAGTGAACACGAAAAAAATGAGTTCACTCGAGCTGACTTGAAACCGATTGAAATTTTAGTGAAGTGAAGTGAAGTGAAACGACTTCACTTCACCAACTTCGACCTCTGACATTTACTCTATCGTAATCTGTGACGTACAGAGGCGTAGCCAGAAATTTGAAGAGGGGGGGGGGGCAAAAAATTATTTTGTATTGAAAAATTTAAGTATGGGGGGGGGGTGTTGGGGTTGGTCGATTTTTGTAATTTTTTCATAAAAACCCTAGCAAAATAAAAAAATTTCTGTTTACGTTGGGGGATTTTTCCCCTCCCCCCCTGGCTACGGGCTTGGTGACTTATATTCTAAGAATCACAATTTCCCAAAAATCATGAATAATTTTAAAGTTTCAATTCAGAGGTTCAACTTTAAACTTTAAA